CATTAGTCGAGATCCTTGGACTTTATCTTTTGTTTTCTTTAGCAAATTTTAATGATTCCCATTTAAGCACTATGCCATCATTTTTTTACCTTCTTCTACTCCAACATGTTTAGAGAAAGAAGCTCATGAATGGGACGGAGTCTCTTCTTGAGCAGGTTTCCCCAATTGGTTTAATTGTGGTTTTAAAAATAAAACTGTTGTATTTTATTATAACAATTATACTTAAAAGGTATGTGATTTGTCTATTTCTAGCCCTGGTTATGATTATAGAAATTATTTAAATAATAATACTACAAAATTTAATTAAAACGATAATATTTTGCTCAAGCTCCTTGCTTGGGAACAGTGGGACAACCTATTTGCTGGTCCACTGTCCCCTCTGTCTACATATCTGATGGGGGAGGCCCTCAGGACCAGACCAAGATCCTTAAAGTAGAAACTAAAATTCAAGAAATGCAAGATACTTTATTCCCTCAACTTACTTATCACCCATTGGCCTTACCAAAAAATAAGGGTGATCTAGATCTTGACCCTCAAACGTCTCAACTTCTTTATGCAACTTATAAGTTGCTTAATGCTACTAATCCTAGCCTTGCTCGAGATTGCTGGTTGTGCATGGTTAAGGGACAGCCTATTCCTGTTGCTTTTCCTTTCTCATCTCTTAATTATTCTGCTGGTTTGTATTGTTCGCTGAACCCTCCCATGCAAGTGCAACCTTTACAGTTTTATAATACTACTTGTTTTATTTCCCCTTCAATCAATAACAGTTATGAAATTGATGTAGGATTTGCAACATTTACCAGTTGTCAATCATTTGTTAATATCTCTGTTCCCCTGTGTGCCCATAATGGTTCAGTATTTGTTTGTGGTAACAATCAGGCTTATACCTAGCTGCCCATTAATTGGACGGGATTATGTGTTCTAGCTCTCCTCCTCCCTGATGTGGATGTTATACCCGGGAGTGAGCCCATTCCCATTCCTCCATTTGAGCACATAGCTGGGAGAGCAAAAAGAGCTATACAATTTATTCCTTTACTTGCTGGCCTTGGAATTACCACAGCAGTCACAACTGGGACTGCTGGCCTTACTCATTCTATATCCCAATATACCAAATTGTCTAAACAATTAATTTCAGATGTACAGACTCTTTCTCAGACTATTCAGGATTTACAAGATCAATTAGACTCCTTGGCAAAAGTAGTTTTACAAAACCGCAGAGGTCTCGATTTGCTAACTGCTGAGCAGGGAGGTATCTGTTTGGCCTTACAGGAAAAATGCTGCTTTTATGCGAACAAGTCTGGAATAGTGTGTGATCACATTAAACAACTGCAAGAAGATTTGGAAAAAAGAAGAAAACAGTTGGCTGATAATCCCCTTTGGACTGGGCTCAACAGATTTTTACCTTACCTCTTACCTTTACTAGGTCCTCTTATAGGTTTACTTCTTTTGTTATCTTTGGAGCCTTTCCTTTTTAATAAGGTCACTACTTTTATTAAAGAACAGATAGAGGCTATTCAGGCATGGCCCATTCAGATTCATTATCAACGACTGGAGATGGGACATTCCTCTAATGAGGGACACAGATCTACTCGCCCTTCAAAAAATAGAGCTGGTTAGTCAATGACAGGTAAGAGGATGTTGTTCTGCAGCAATCTAAGACAGGGATATCTGTCCAGCTACAGTTAATCCCAATGACTGGTAAGCTGTTATAGAATAAAACATCCCAACCTAAGCCAGACACAGCTCCTATTATGTTGGGCTATGTTTCCATTTCTCATATAAGAAAAGAAAGGGGGAATATGTTGGGAGCCTGCAGCCCCACACCCCTCCTTGTATGGCCGTGCCTGTGTGACAACCTGCTTGCACCAGATGGCCACGCTTACATGATAGCTGCCTCATAATCTGTTTGTGCCAGGAACTCTGTGTTCCCGGCTTTGCAAGTTTACTCAAGAGTGACCTTTCATCTTCTTCCAAGTCTCTGCTCTGTTGTAAAGACCTTGGGCTATGCTTTGTTTGGAGTATCCTGTCTCTGTTTCTTCTCAAGATCTTATCGCATTCCTGCATTCCTGACTTCTTACAGCATGCCTGTTTTTTTCCTATATAAGCTGTAACTTTTAAACCAATAAACGAGACTTGATCAGAATACTGTCTTGTCTCCATTTCTCGCATCTCTTGTCCCATCC